TTTTTTTTTTTATAAAACTTATTTTTTTTATTTTTTTCTAAATTAAATTGTAAATATAAACAATACATATCTAAATAAAAATTAAACATTCACACATATCTATTGATGACTACTAACAATACGTTAAAAATATTATTTATTTATTTAATATATATATAAAACTGGTTTCATTTAATCGTTTTTTATTTTTTTCTGAACCGAAAATCTGATTTTTTGAACCGTAACCGAACCGTTTTTTTGGTTAACCAGTTTTTCGGTTCGGTTTGGTTTTTGTATTTTTTTTTAACACTATATATATACCTCTTTTGATTGTTTGACATATAAGATATTTTGGAACTCATTTTGATATCTTGGATTGACAAGTAGGGTTTGTGGTTTAATAAGCCAATCAAATTGTTTCATCTTGAATGTTGGGTTTATATTTATTATTTATCTTGATATATTGAATCTGTATTAATAATTAATAATTAATAAAAATTATTAGACTTATTTAAAATATTAATAATTATATAGGTGCATTGCACCAATATTAAAAAGCTTGACTTGACATGTTGACTGCGTATTAACAAGAAGTATACAGTGCGTTGCATTGCCATTCCAAAGTTATAAATAAAGTTAGCCTCTTCATGTTAGTATCCGGCAACTGCAAGACAAAGCTATATATCATTGCTTTTCAATTTCATCTTCTTAAATTTCTATTTCTTCGTCTGCTTGGTTGCAGAACGAAGATAATTCCGCAACTGATTCGGGAATAGGATTTGGTCTTTCAGTTTCTAGAAATTGAATTATCAATTATTTAATTTTATCAGCGACAAACAGCGCGTTTGGTAATTGCTCTGGATTCTTTTTGTTATTCCCTTTCGAATTTTGATATTAGGGTTTCGTTGTTTTTTAGCTTGATCTGATTTGACATATTTTGCTCGGTTTTGTTGTTGATTGAAACTTTGTTACTTTTTATTAAGATACTTTAATAGTTGTTCTGCAGTTCAATTGGCAAAGATGACTAAAAGTTCCTTCAAGATAGAGCATGATTTTCGTAAGTCGTTGATGATTATTTTCTGTTACAAGAATCTTCTAATGGATTGGTTAATTATTTTTGATCGTTTGTGTAACTAATACGGATTGTGTCTGCAGAAAGAAGACGTGAACATGGTGGATGCATAGATATTACACAAATCCAAAACAAACAATCAAAACATCACACACTCACACACAGACACACTTCACAGCACAACAACGCCACCCTGCAAATCCCTAGCCCCATTTCCATTTCATTTTTTTTGCTAAGTCCCCATTTCCATTTCATTTCAAACGAAAAACACAAAAACAAAAACGATTTCATTTTTTTTAACGATTATTTAATTCAACTCTCGCATTCTCAACTTCTCGGAGCTCGGTACGCCAACTTTAAACGAAGTATAAATCTCTCTCGCGTTCTCTCTGTTTTTATTAGTTTTCTATGTATTTATTTGGCTTTCTGTTTTGTGGCGATTGTTTTTTGGTTGTTTTGATTGATAATGTGAGGGTTTTTGTGGATTGGTTTTTGGTTTAGGAGGATTGAATGCAGTCTATGGAGTCATCCTACGTGTCGTCGCCGGAGGAGATGGTGAGGAAGCGAACTCCGCCGCCGCCGAAGTCTCTGCCTACAGGTCTCTGATCCTATCTTTGCTCTTTCTTTCTTTCTTTATTTATTTTTTTGCGTGTAATATCGAGTGTTTTGTTTTTGAATTGTGTTGTGGTGGTGGGAAGGTTACATTGTAGATTCAAAGATTTTTTTTGGAATGTTTTTTGTTTTTATTTTGTTTGAAATTGAAACCCTAATTTCGGCATTTTATCAGAGGAGAGGAAAAGATGAGTGAGTTTTGAGTCTTAGTTTTTGTTTGGATGCTGAGAAAACTGTTTATTTATTGGTGTGTGCATGCGTGAATCTTAATTGATTTAGAATTTACAGACCGATGTTCTATACAGAAATGTAGGCTGTATTAACTGAATTTGTGCTGTTTGTTATGTGTGTACTGTGGTTGAGACTGAATTATGGGAAGCCTGATATGTATATGCTGTCTAGAGAAATTATGGGAAGCCTGATATGTATATGCTGTCTAGAGAAATTGGTTCTCGTGCAGGAAGATATTTTTTTATATGATCTTATGTGGAAAGATTGAAAACAGTAAAATGAGATTTTTCTAGAAGCATTATGTATGCACCTCTTACTGATGAATTCGGATAATGGTCATCCAGTATTTCCAGTTTGCAAATGCTGTTTAGATTTTTGGGACATCATAGGTTCCAACTTCATGCATATCTTTTTTGCCCCACTATAGGTTCCCTTTTGTTTCCCCTTTTTATCCTCCCAAGGTTTGGTGAATAACAGGAGGAAGCCCATGGACTTGTAACCAGAGGAACATGTAGCCTGGTGAGTGATGGGGCTATGAGGGATGTCACCATCCCCAGCCCAACATTGTTGTATTCTCCTCTTGTGTCAATTCAGGTGAATTCAGAATGGTCAAGGGTTGGTTGTTGGTGCAGCAGCATTCTAGGTTTTTCACACATGGCAACAGGTTTAATCTTAACTGAATAGAGAAAGGCAGACTCTGCTTTAGCCTGCAGAAGATTTGATCTGATTTGACATATTTTTGCTCAGTTTTGTTGTTGATTGAAACTTTGTTACTTTTTGTTAAGATAGTTTCATAGTTGTTCTGTAGTTCAGTTGGCAAAGATGACTAAAAGTTCCTTCAAGATAGAGCATGATTTTCATAAGTCGTTGATGATTATTTTCTGTTACAAGAATCTTCTAATGGATTGGTTAATTATTTTTGATCACTTGTGTAACTAATATGGATTGTGTCTGCAGAAAAAAGACGTGCCGAGGCTGAAAGAATTAGAGAGAACTATCCAGATAGAATTCCTGTGAGAACTTAGCTTTAGCTTTTATTTTTTATTTTTTGTCTCAATTATATTTTAGTGCAATCCTATGTTGATATCTTAATTGTCATTGTTGCATGGTGCTCACTGAGTGCGTTTACAAGGTAATAATCTATTTTTTACCAGAAACATTATGATTATTATTGTGTATGAACTTGTGAAACATACCTGTATTATTTGATTGTGTTTTGCTTGTAATTGTCTAATTTATTGCCTCAAATTTGTACAGAATTCAGTGCTCTGCTGTATTCCTTATATTTTATTGTTCTTTTGATTATGCTAGTTTTAGTTATCAGGTATTTTGAGTTCATTTGAAAGAATTAGGGTTATGTCGATTCTTTCTTGTATTGATTAGGAAAACAATGGCAGAATACTTGGATTGTAAAGAAAATTATATAATCCGAGAAGTGAGAATATCTTTAATTGTTAGTTGTTTATTGTGCTCTGAATTTTACAAACAATGACTGCAGGAGTGGGTTAAGGCGAGAAAATATTGTATTACTTTAGTATTAGCTTTTTTGTCAGAAATGTTTTTACCTTGCACAATTTCAACGGGCTTTTTAAGCAATAAATTTGGTTCTAAATGATCATAGTGATCTGAGTTTTTGTGGATGAAGGTGAATAATATTGAAAGGCCAAATTTGATAATTCATTGTTTTACTGCTCTTGGAAATGAGAAGATTATTTCCACAGAGCTTGGAAATGTATAGATAAAGTTCATTTTGACATTAAGAAGGGAGAGGTAGCTACTATGTTCACATTGTGAACTTTGTTGTTGCTGCAGGTTTTTGCTCAGATTGATGTGTTGCTGTTATGCTATTGTCTTATGTTCAAACTAGCAGTTTCTGCTGTTGTGAAACTTAGTATATTTATAAAACTTGCAACGCTTTTTCTTGAGTAACCACTGTGTAATGATAGAGAAACAATAAGGGATACATTTTTATTTGATTATACTAAAAGTAATGTGTATGATATTCTGGAAGAGGAATGATAAAAATGTTTCAGCCACTTTGCTTGAATGTCATGAATTTGGCCTTTTGTGGTAGTATAGATTTCTGTCAATGGCATACATGTATTGACCAGAGTGGTGACCTTCGAATATTTGGAATGCCATAAAACTATGTCTGGTGAGACCATATTTTGTGTCAGTATTTGCTAGATCAGGTTTCTTTGTTGCTTCTTACGAAGATTTAAATATTTCAATTTCTTTTTTCAGCTTTTTTAGTTGATTTATTTCTATTTGTGTTAATTGGGTTTTGTTTTATGTTGTTATCTAATACTATGTTAAAATTAAAATAACAGGTACTGTATGGCAGTGAATGTGATAGCCTTTGTATATTCTGGGTTTCAGGGTTACGATCTAATCTATCAATTGACCTCCGGAGAACGCAAAGTGAGGCAACCCCTCTGCCACTACTCGGATTTTTATTTAGATCAGCTGAGTGAGTCTTTGTTTTATTGTGCTCAAATTTTTTTTTTTTTTTTTTTTTTTTTTTTTTTTTTTTTTTTTTTTTTTTTTTTTTTCATGCCTAACCTAGACCCATGTTTAACTACACACCTCAGACCACTTCCTTTAAAGGCAGTGCATAAGGCCAATAGTAGATGGAGATTGATAGAAATGTTTGCGAAGACTCTAAATTAGTGAATAATATTTAGTTTTTATGGGGCCTCCTTAGGCCACTGTTGCACACGAAATTGCTTATGTTAGAATCTGTTGGAGTGCTGACAGTATTAGCGTCTCTGTCTTAGTGCTATATATTGTATTTAAATTATGATGTGGAAAGATATCTTGATATCCAAAATGTAGAAGTGCATTATGCATTTTTTTTCTTCATCTTCTTCGTCTTTAGCATTTTCCTTATTCATTTTTTTTTAATTTCTGCTGAACAAAGTTTGTAGGCTATTGTTTAATTGTCTGTAGTGTGGTACTGGAACTAGATGTTTCTATATTCCACAAATCTTTTTTAGGAGAAACATAAAGCAATCTTGATTAAGAGTCTTACAGATTTCTGTTCCAGAGTCAGTAATATTCAGAAGTCGTCATTTCTTATGTGCATTATTGTGTGTCTATAGGTATGCCAATGGAGGAATGATATCTTACTGCAAGCTGCTATCATGGTGCTGATGATCTCAGTTAAGGTACATTTAAGTGCTGCAATTCGCAGTTTAAGACTGAGACACAGTTGAGTTACATTAGATGCCATGTCGTGCAATTTTTGAATTTCCACTTGACCTAATGCTGGCTGTCTTTTAGCATGTTTTACATAAAAAGAATGTTTTGGATTACAATGATGGATTATTCTTCTGGCTATGTATAATATATATTGACAGTGGAGTTGAATTCTTCCTTGATTTTTCAGAGATTTTATGAGCATGGAGGTGAGATGCAAGTCGCACAAGATGCTCCTTTAAAGCCATCTATGGATATCTTTGCTGTAGGGTGAGTGTTAACAGTATTAGCGTCTGTGTCTTAGCGCTATATATTGTATTTAAATTATGATGTGGAAAGATATCTTGATATCCAAAATGTAGAAGTGCATTATGCAATTTTTTTCTTCATCTTCTTCGTCTTTAGCATTTTCCTTACTCATTTTTTTTTAATTTCTGCTGAACAAAGTTTGTAGGCTATTGTTTGATTGGCTGTAGTATGGTAGTAGAACTAGATGTTTCTATATTCAACAAATCTTTTTTAGGAGAAACATAAAGCAATCTTGATTAAGAGTCTTACATAATTCTGTTCCAGAGTTTGTAATATTCCGAAGCCGTCATTTCTTATGTGCATTATTGTGTGTTTGTAGGTATGCCAACGGAGGAATGATATCTTACTGCAAGCTGCTATTATGATGCTGATGATCTCAGTTAAGGTACAGTTAAGCGTTGCAATTCGCAGTTTAAGACACAGACACAATTGAGTTACATTAGAGATGCCATGTCGTGCAGTTTTTTAATTTCCACTTGACTTAATGTTGGCTGTAATTTAGCATGTTTTACATAAAAAGAATGTTTTGGATTACAGCGATGGATTATTCTTCTGGCTACGTATAATATATATTGAAAGTGTAGTTGAATTCTTCCTTGATTTTTCAGAGATCTTTTTAGCATGAAGGTGAGATGCAAACAGGATACTAAATTGATTTTGTATTTGCTATTTTTCTTAATCTGAGCATGATTTTCATTACCTCAAACGGGATACTAAATTGATGAATTTCCTGGATTTTTTGATTGTTGATTTATTATTTATGCCAAGAGTGGATTGTGACTTGATTTCTGGATTATGCAGCTCATGTTCTCTTTCAAAAATGGCAAATGAAGCTTAGTGGAGCAGTGGAATGACTCAAGTGGTGGTACACCAGTAGCAAGAACATGATTGGAGAGATTGAGAACCGCTCAAGCTATCTTTTAGCTGTAAGTGTAACAGTATCTTATCGTTTCATTGAGTTTTTCTCTTTTGTTTTGCAAATATGATTACCTTCTTTGACAATATGCACATTAATACACAAATAAAATATGATGTAAAAAAACAAAAAGAGTTCATACATTTCTTGATCAAAGAGGTGGAATCAGCAAGCTTTTCACAGATATCAGATGTGGAGACATTTGTTTAATGGCTAGATGGGGAACTATCATCCTTGGTTGATGAAAGGACGGTGTTGAAGCACTTCCCACAATGGCCAGAACGAAAAGCAGATGCTTTTTAAGAGAAGCTGCTTTCAGTTACAGAGACTTGAAGAACCTTGAAACTGAGGTTTCATCATTTGAGGACAACCACAAAGAGTCTTTGGCTCAGGCAACAGGAAGGATGCAAGCATTACAGGACAGGCGAGCATGTATAAGCTGAATTACTGTAACTTAGTGATGAAATTTGATAGTATAAATTAATATTATTGCATGAATAAATATGGAACTTGCATGTTGGAGCAAAGTGTTAACAACACAGAAAGAATGAGAGAAAGCAGCAGTAAAAGATACAGGGATTTTCAGATCCCATGGGAATGGATGTTTGATACAGGACTCATTGGCCAGGTAGGTAACACATAGCTTACAAACTAAATTTACTATAAAGCAATTCATCAAAATTTCAACTGATAAAAATGTCTTACCAATAATGTGAAACTTTTTATAGCTACTCAAATTAGTAAGAAATGTTGACTTTAAGCAGATGAAACTAAATTCACTGAGGCTTGCGAAGGAACACATGAAAAGAATAAGCGAGGAGCTGAAGTCCATTAACGAATGTTCGCAAGAACAAAGTCTGATGCTCCAAGGAGTTAGATTTGCCTATAAAATACACCAGGTAAACTCAAACTCAAACACAAACTCCCTACATTGTTAAATCCTTTCGTTTTCATCATCTCTTTTACCAACAATCAGAACGTTCAGTTTGCATGTGGGTTTGACACAGAGACCATAAATGCATTTGAAGAGCTAAAGAAAGTTGGTATGCGTGGTCATCATAATAATTATGTATTGCCGTTGTTCATCAAGTGTTTGAACTTTCTAATGCTCCTTTCATTTAGTTTTTGGGGATTTCGAAAAGCCAATCTGAGAATATGTTTTACTTTGTTACATTTCAAATATGTTTTACGTTGCGCAAGTATGTTTTACTTTGTTATATTTCAAATATTTTTAGGTCAAAAATTTATATTTACACACTTCATTTTATGATAAATAGTATAATTTAATATAATTTTCTAATTAATATTTTAAAAACTTTTCCTTTTATAAAAAATTAACAATTTGGTCTCTCTTACAGAAAATAAGGGAGTTATATTTGAAGGTTTTTTTTTCATAATATCATTCAAAACTATACATAGTATTAATATAAGCATTCTTTAATGTGAATGTTATAAATCTCAAGACATTTCTACTTAATAATAATCAGATATATTATATATTAGTTGTAAAATCTAAAAGTATTTGAAATATAACAAAGAAAACATACTCGCCCAACTTATCCTTATTTACATAAATACTATCACATTAAATTCAATAACAATTCATAAAAAAACAATAAATTATCGGACAAACTTATTTATTAATTATATTTTATCACACCAAAAAGAACAATAATTAAATAAAATTTTATAAACATACCCGCACAACATATGGGGTGCACTGTTTACATGATATATTTCACAGGTCAATAATCTGTCAGTAAATATTTCATGTAGAATATTCATTTTTATCAAACTTATGAATTATGTGCATACACAACAGTTATGTGTGCACACTGATTACCAATCCTTTTATTTAACTTGTTTTATATGTTATGTGTGTGTACATCAGTTCTTAGTGCACACTGTTTGCCAAATTTGTGTTTTGACTTGTTTCATTTCAAGTGTGTGTACACAACTGTCCGTGCTTACATTCTTGCTTAAGATATATTGCAACCCAACACGAGTTGCATGTCTGATAAAGTGAAAAATATATTATTTATCTTTGTCTCTTGATATTTAGGACTTTTTACATTTGTCATAATATCCTTAAGTGGTCATAGGGAATAAAGTTATCTTTCCTGATTTTTTTTGTGGTCCAAACCAAAAGAAAGAATACTTTTCTTATTTGAACAAACATGGGTCAGCCATTTGTTGGCTGATGTGGTACTATATTGTTGAGCAAGAAATCTTAATTATATAATACTCTTTCTTGCTTAAATGAATTTAACATTTTGACAATTTGTTTCATTGTACTATGAATTTCTTAAAGTATTCTATCTCTTAAAGTTGAAAGTTTTTTTTTTTTTTTTTGGTGCCAAAACCTTACCATATCAAAGATAGACTTGATGACTTTTGGAACGTGGTTCTTTTGCTGATGCTGATGCGTGGCGTTGGTGCTTGAAACTTGGTGATTTACAAGCTGTTCTTGGGTGTGTTCCCGGTGAAAAGAAGCTTCAAGGAGTTGTTACACGTAAAAGATTTAGAGTGTGGTGCTAATTGTAAAGTTGAACATGTAGTTTTTTTTACTGTAACTTAGATCAGTTTTGAACTATATTTGATAATGTGTTTTGACTCAGTGAATTGCTTCGATCTGGACAAGGTCCTATGGATGTAGGCTGAATGTAGATTTAGTCGAACCATGTATATGTATATAATTGTGTTCTTTACTTCTGCACTTACGTTTGTTGTGGTCAAAAACTGAAAATCTTTTAATCAACTCGGTAATATTCTGTTAAAAGTTAAAATGGGTACTTAAACACCGAACTGTGTTAACCAATCCCCTACATCTTCCATGTTGCATACACTAGCCAGAGTCACGGTCAGAGTTCTTACTCTACTGATGACTTGCCCAAGGCTGTTGTTATGACTCTGAATCAGGGTTCAGCCGTCAAGAGCATGGATTTCCATCCGATGCAACAAATTCTACTTCTTGGTAAGACCCAAGTGACTTAAAGAACAATATTGAATCTCTTATTAATATTATTATATTGAAAATCAGTTCGTTGTTGAGGTTTCTGTTTTGAGCTGATTATTCATAATGTTTGATTTTGTGTTTTGCAGGAAAGTGTGGAGGGTACAACAGATGGAGAGGGTGAAGTGGAAAGTGAGATTCCATCAATTGTTGCCAGCATGTGATGTCGGCAATTATTAGAGCGGCAGTCGACAGTCTCAGCAACAGCGACAGAAGGAAGATTGACATGAGTAGTCGAAAGAAGATTCCGGTGGATAAATAAACCGGTACCTGAGATCCCATTTCCGGTGGCGGAGATTCTGGCCATGGCGGGACCCTTCCCGGAGAAAATGGCAGCTTTCATTCTCTCAGTTTTGGAGACTCCTTTGCAGATACACCATGACTCTGTTAACACTCCCATCTTGGAAGCTAATGCAGGAGTTGTGGAGTTAAATAGGTTCTACTATAATCTTTTAGCAGATTTAGTGTTAAGAGAGCTGGATTTAGAGTGGAAGTGTGAAGCATTTGAGTTCATGTATCTGGTTAATTGAGTAAGAAAAGGAAAACGACAGATAGAAAGAGGACTAAATGACGAGATGGTCTTGAAATAAATAAAGGTCATGTCTCTCTGTTTTTTGAGTTGGAATTTGGGGGCTCGAGAAAATTAGAAAACGATTTTGTTATTGTAACTTTATTCTTTTAGTAATATTCCTTTTACTAAATTTATCGGATATAATTTTAACCTGTGATTTCACGTTTTGTTTGGGAAATATGGATTGAATTTATAAACTGTATACTACTTCCAAAAACATTACCTTACTTTTGGAATAACAATTAGTTTAAGAAATTTTAATGTAATGTTTAAAAAAATTATAACTATTGGAGATGTAGCAGGAAGCATTAAGCAATGATGATGTTACCTTTATATAGAGAAACGTGGTAACATCCATATAACATTTCATCAAATAAGCATAAATGAGAAATGACCATTGTTTTTTGTTAATTAAAGTGTAAAACTGTTTTACAAGTTTATGAAATGGGAATTTATTGTAAATTTGATGAGGATGATGGAATGGTTATTATGGTGCGTGATTTTTTTAGAACTTTTCCTTTTATAAAAATTTAACATTTTAGACTCTCTTATGGAAAATAAAAGAGTTACCTTCCAAAGTTTTTTTTCTTCATAATATCATTCAAAACTATATATAGTATTAATATATTCATTCTTTGTGAATGCTATAAATCTCAAGATATTCCTACTTAATAATATCCATATATAAATTATATATTAGTTGTAAAATCTAAAAACATTTGGAATATAACAAAGTAAAATATATTTATTTTTCCTACAATTTTAATCATTTTTTAATGCATATATAGTATTCTCTTAATAATAAAAATACTTAGTTATAATTAAACCTATGAACGCCTAAATGAAAAAGTTTTGTTTAAGTCC